TCTGGGATGTATGAGGTATTTCTTTCTCGTGCAAAATTCCAAAATTGATATTCCGTGATGATGCACCTGTTCTTGTACAGAGTGATTCACCATAAATGTCCCCCCATCTGCTCAGTTACTTTTTAATCAATCGCAAAATTTGAGGCATCATTCAAAATAATTCTTGATAAAGTTTTTTTCCGCTAGATCAGCTCGGAACAAACGATCTACAGGCTACTGGTTGATTTTTTCAAATGAAACACCCTATATCTCTCATTTCATTTTCTAGATTCTCCCTGGAGAGCTGATCTCATCAATGTATCACACTAGGAGTCTAGCGTGAATGATTACAGAAATATAGAGTGCTCAAAATCGAGATTTTTCAACTCAAGGATTTTTTTCTGTCGAAGCTATTCATTGAACCACCCTGTAGTGTTCCGATTGAATGTCAACAGATAGTAAATCAAAAGTTGTGATAGAGACATATGACTCGTTTTGACACATCAAAGTTGAAAAATCTCGATTTTGAACACCCTATACCTCCGTAATTAGTCCCGCTAGACCCACCCCAAGTGTGATGCATTGATGAAATCAGCTCTTCCGGGAGAATATAAAAATGAAATGAATCACAGAGGGTGTCCTATTTCAAAAGATCAACTAGTACCCTGTAGATCGTTTGTTCCCAGCGCCCTGTATTTCCTGATGTAGCAGAAAAAACTCATTGAAAAATCATTTCAAATGATCCCTTAAATTTTGCGATAGTTTCAAGAATAACAGAACTGAGCTAGAGGGGGGACATTTATGGTGATTCACCCTGTACGTGTATTCCAACTTTATTCCATTTACATTCCAGTAATTCCACTTCGGTACTAAATTTCAGTCGAGGGTACTAGGACACTTCCCTAACAACACAGGGATGTCCTAGGTACGTCCCTTTTTTGTCCCGCGGTACAAGGACATGATTGGGACATCCAGGGGATGTCGCGCAGTGGTTGTCCAGTTGACATCCCGCCCGGTACATTCCTAGGTTATCCTATTCGTGTCCCTGGAATATCTGATATCCATTCCCATCAGAGTCATTGGATTTCATCGAAGTATTAAGTTGCTTTTTTTTGAAAATGTTTGTTTTTCTTCCGGAAAATAATCGTAATGAAAATAAAGAATGAAGTTTCAGAACTCCGTAAGAAATTACCATTTTGCGCAAACAGAAATCGTACATGCATAATGCCCCTCATTTTTAAACACCCAAGAATGATATAATAATTATACCCAAATCCTAACAAAGTTGTATTTATTCAGGTTTCTGTAGTTGAATCCTGTTTATAAATCTGTTTAGGACCTAAATCTTCAGGAGGCTCAATAGCCAATGGAGTAAGATGCGTGCCTGATAAGCTAAAGGCCCGGGTTCAATCCGTACTCGACCTAAATTTTTTTCTTTTGTCGAAGGGATGTCCCTGGGATATCCTTGGGACGTCCTAGCGATATCCTTTCTTCGTACTTGGTACATCCCAGGGACGTACCAGAAGGACATCCCTAGGATGCCTCTTTTTGTGGGAAGCAGATGTCCCTGGGACGTCCCTAGTATGTATCATGTCCCGACACAGGATATCCCAGGGACATCCTCGTAGAAAATGAAGGACGTCCCTGGGACGTACTCGTGTTGTTAGGGTGAATAGTGATAGAAAATAATGAATCTAGTAACAAAATACTAAAAATGCCAACACTGTTTTCTGGCGTTCGAGTCCGATCCTGAGAGACCGTTCGACTTGAAAGGGTACAAGTGAAATCAAAGGAACAACAGGGGTCCACACAAATAGCTCTACGCATCATTACACACAGGTGTATGTTTTGTCGAGACAATCCCTATCATCTTCCTATACGGCAAACTGTCACGCATCCGCTGGCGATAGCTTTCATTTCAATACGAAAATAATAAATGATGCACAACAATGTATGCCTGACGCATCCAACACAACAAATTCGAATATCATGTCCATCGGCCTTTTTGGCCGTAACATAAACATAACCGAGTTACCGGACACAGGGTGATAATTTTTATTTGTGCGAGAGTGTCAAGGGTTAGGTTTTATCGCGGTCTCAAGGGCCAATACAATGTTTCAAACGATCTATAGCTAATTTTTAGTTTATAGTGATTGAGGGACTATATTATCAAACCGTCTACCTACCAACGGTTATGAATTGAAATAAGTATTCAATTATAATTTGCATATAACTGAAATAAAGTGTGGAAACCTTTGATGGAATAAAATCCCATTTTTAGGCCAGCAGATTTTTTTTTATCGCTTGGAGCGCACGAAAGGGAATCTCTTTAATGTTCAAAGAACATCGTGCGTTCCTAGGGAGGATAGGGACAGGAGGTAGGTATTGGATTTTTTTTTGAACTTTTGGAGATTATATGTTGTTGGGAATACTTCCACAGGCAATGAATTCCAGAGCCTAGCCGTTCTATGGATGAAGGAGTCTTGATAAAGTGCTGTTCGACATCTTTCGAGGTTGACAACGAAAGGATGTGCTGACTGGGCTTGTCTAGTTCGTCTGATTGGTATTGCTAGTGCCGCTAGTGGAGGGATTTCCGAAGAACATTTCCCGTGGAAGTATCGATAGAAAAGTGTTCCAATGATGTCAAAGAGTGAGTGAGTGTGGCGTCACCCACCAGGCGAATGGCTCTTCTCTGGATGGAATCTAAGAGCATCAGCGTATGTTTTGGTGCTGAACCCCATATTATGTGGGAACAGTATTCTAGAACAGGCCGTATCTGCGCTTTGTAGATCATGAGAAGCTGTTGAGGTGCAAAGTAGCTTTTCGCACGGAACAAGAATCCGAGTTTTTGTGAAGCAGCTTTTGCGATGGATCTGACATGATTATCCCATGAAAGAGTGTTGCTGATGGAAATACCGAGCATATAAATATATGGTGGGCTTGGTGGGGATGGTGGAGCCAGACATTACAATATCTGGCATACTGAGTTCCGCCTTTCTAGAGAAAATGCAGCCTTGAGTTTTGGTGGCGTTGAATTCAACTAGGTTGTTTGTTCCCCAGGCTGTGATTTCAGCAAGATCTTCATTGACAGCATTGACCTGCCTGCGCCGTGAGTTCTGGCATCAACATTAAAGAAAAAAAATTGAAATATATAGGAGCAAAAGCTCTCCAAGACAATGAAATCATATCACCCTCATGGCCTCATGTCGATAAATCTACTAGAAACCACCCCTCACTTAGGTTTTTGAAATTCTACCCCTAAATACAGTATGTCCCAGCTACAACTTGTCACCCCCCTAATCTCCGATGTCGTTAAAAAAAATTTAAATCGCTTGGACAAGTCGATTTCAATTTGGCGAGGGGCACATTTTTCTGCAATTATCATATTCCAAAGTTGAAACCTTGAAGCGTAACAGGCATCAACTTTCAATTTTTAAATGGAACACCCTGTATTTCATTACATTTCTAGATTCTCCCTGAAGAGCTGCTTCCATCAATGCATCACACTTGGTGTCTAGCGAGAATGATTACAGAGATATAGGGGGTTCAAAATCGGGATATCTTAACTTCGAGATTTTTTTGTGTCGGTCAAAACGGCTATCACGTCCCTATCTTAACGTTTGATTTACTATTTACTGACATTCTATCGGTACAAATACAGGGTGGTTCAAGAGTAAGAATTCTGATCACCCTGTACCCGTTCCAATTAAATGTCAGTAGACAGTAAACCAAAAGTTATGATAGGGACACGAGAGCCGTTTTGTTCGATAATGAATAGTTTCGACACAAAAAAATCCTAAAGTTGAAAAATCTCTGTAATCATATTCCCGCTAGACACCAAGTGTGATAGATCAGGGAGAATCTAAAAATGGAATGAAATACACGGTGTTCCATGTGAAAATCGAAAGTTGATGCCCGTTAGGCTTCAAGGTTTCAACTTTGGAATATTATAATTGCAAAAAAATGTGTCCCTTGCTAAATTCAAATCGACCTGTCCGAGCGATTTTCAATTTTTTATCGACATCGGAGATTTGGGGGGTGACAAGTTTTAGATGGGACACACTGTATGGTTTTTTCGGTTTCTCATAGAACTGTTCATTCTCAATTCAGTGTTATATCGGACTAGATATTTTGCGAGACATATCGATTTTTCTTTAATGATTGTTTGAAAAGACTGGTTATCACTTGATACACTTACCTGTTTTTAGCGGCTATTCAGACTTCGTGTGTACCTCGGATTATTCAAGGAATAAGTGGGTGTAACACAGGGGCGGATCCAGTGGGGGGGGGGGCATGGGGCCATGCCTCATGGATATGTGAAAATGTAGGTATTTTGAATAAATGAAAAAATTAGTGTATATGTCTCCATAGCTAGAAACTTCGCAACAGCTCTGAGAAATTGCGAATTTGTAATATCACTCTGCTGTTTGGCAAAGTTTTCGATAACACTGCCACTCAGTAATTTGCTCCAAACAAAAAACTTAGACAAAAAACAAGCTAACGATGTTGTTAGTATCACTCTTCTGACGCTTAAAAATAAAATGGATGATATTCTAAATACTATCTAAGTATTTCGAATAAAGCCAAACAGAAATTAAAAGAACTGAATGTTGAATTTTCGATGTCGAGAATAACAGGGAAACTGGTTTATAGACCGAATCCTACGGTTTCCTCAGTGGATGACCATTACATAATAACTGTTTTCATCCCAGTATTATCCTTGATCTGAATGATAGACTATCAGAAAATAAATTGAATCTATACAACCTTAACCTTTTTGTGCCATTAATAACTAAAAACAAAACAGATGAGGAAATATATGAGGTATGACAAATATACTTGAATAGTTTCAGACCATTGATGAATGATGAAATAATGTCCTTTCAGAAGATCGTTTCTGAAATGTATATATGGAAGAAAATGAGGGATACTTAGCAAAATATACCAAACAATGGTATAACTGCCCTGAAGGAATGTAACAAACATTTGTTTCCTAACATGAACATTCTTCTGGAACCAATATGTTGCCTGCCTGTAAGTGTTGCATCTTCTGAAAGAAGTGTTTCAACACTCAGAAGGCTGAAAGATTGGATGAAATCCAGAATGGTCCAAGACAGGTTAAATGGATTGGCATTGATGCATATTCATAGAGGCATCTGCAGCAGTCTGAATGTTGATGATATCATCCAAAGATACGCTAGGCAGAAGAATAGAAAACTGTAATTTGTTTCCTTTATTTTATATATTTTTATTTCTGTCTGTTTGATTTGTTTTGTTTTTTAAATGAAATATTTTTATTCACTTTTGAACCCAAGTTCTTCAAGAGAAATATTTTTTTATTCACATTTCTTTATCCAATATGATTTATCACAGAATTTTACATGTATTGATGGAATAAAAATTTGAACTTGTTTTTTTACACCAGTAATTTCGATACTTGGAAGGAAACTAAAGATTTCATGTTTACTATAAACAATTTTTCTAATGAAAAAGCATTTGTCTCAGAAGGTCACCATATAATTTCTCTTCCGCGCTAACCTTATTGAGCCGTGACTTTCTATGCCCCCCCCTCCCTCAAACATCGTCTGGATCCGCCCCTGGTGTAACAGTATAACAGGCCTGAAAAATCATTTACTTCATAATAATTCTGACTTCTGACTATAAATAACCCTTTATCGATCGTGATGTATGTACAGTGTGTCCAGTTTTAGATGCCTTTGCTCGAGATCCCAGTTATCTTTGTGTTGCGGTTTTCACATTACTACGAACAAGGACGAATCCAGGGGGATGGTCGTGGGGGTCATACCCCTCTTCCTGGGACCAGGTGAACCAGTGATTTCTCTGTGAACTCTCTGATCAATTTCCCAAAATGGAGAGTGTACAATCAACTTGAAAAAAAGTCGATGATGGTTCTACGAATACGAAACGTCGCGTAGAGAAATAAAAAACCCCCATTTAAATCTCATCAGAAGTTGTTATGGGAAAGTATTATCATTAAAAAGGAATATTCTCAGATATAATTATGAACATAAAAAAAATGATCTATATATATACAGAAATACATTGAGAATTCGCATTCCCTATGTGATGAAAATAACAATTCTTTCTCGGTTTATTCAACAGAAAAAAACTATTTTCCTGGCTATATGCCACGACGAACATTGAATTATATCTATTGAACACACACGATAAGAGTTTGAAAAGAAATTTTTCTGAAGCAGTAAATTTGCATTCTCCTTCATGATATAACGATATGCACATGATATCATTCTGAATATTCAACAGAAAACAACTACTTTCCTGGCTATTTGCCACGTCGAACATTGAATTAGATCTGTTGAACATCCAGAAAGAGAGTATGAAAAATGAAAATTCTCTGATATTGAGATCTGCAAACTCTATGATTGATTAAAGTTTTCTAACGTAGTTACTAGGTGAAGTAAGTATACCTATAATTGTTGAATGTTGACAAATGAAAGTCTCCCCACTTTCAACACTGTTTCCTAAAATAAAATAGGTATGTATATTTTCATTATCTTCTAGTGCTACCTATATATAATTGTTTGTTTAATCTATGTATAAAGTGATCCTTTCGACAGTGATGGAGGAATAGTAAACGTCAATTCACCTATTATATCATTTTTCGTTCTTCCGTTGTATACGTATATATATATAGGTATCCGATATTTGCTCGCTGATAGGTAAATAAACCTACCACCTAATGGAGTCATCATATTTCACTAAGAAATTCAAAACAAACTCAGGTGAGTCACAGAAACTCGTCTACTTTATCGGAGAATTATAAATATTTTTATTATGATATGATTATTATAAGTATTCATTGATGGTACTCATTAGTCTTCCGTAGTCAATACCTAACAAAAAGTGAAAATGGCTCAGTTGGTAAGATAATCCAAAGGTCGCAGGTCATATACCTACTAAACATATACGGATAACATCCTATGTTTCCATGGTCAAAGGTGAAGCCAGTTTTGAGGAAACAAATGACAGTCTGCGGGTAAAAATACCTATTTGCGCATGCGCGGGATTTGTCAAAATCACAAGTCAAAATGGAGGACGAATTTCATTTAAATTTTATTAATATATTATGTTGTTGACGTTTCTTACCTATGCCTCTGAAAATATTATTCCTCCGCGAAAAATTTTCCGATAGCAGGAAAAGTACGTCAAAGCATTGATATATTGATGTCAAAGCTGTTAGTTGAATGGGGACAACAAACATTCAATTCTATTATAATTCAATCATTTTTATTTCGAAATTTCAGCGATTTGAGTGCTTTTGAAAATCGGCCGATGGTGGAAGACGAACAGGTATACAAAGCAGGAAATAATGTTATTTTGTTGAAGTGAAAAGTATACAGAAACTTGAGATCTTTGGGCTGATGGTTGTACAAACTTCTGCTGCTTTGAAACTCTAAGCCAATAGAAACTTTGGTTTGTCTATGCTGAAGCCTCATGAAGTCAATTATGCTCGATTGATCCTTGTGCTTACCGAATTTTTAGGTATAGGCATAAAGAACTGGAAGAATTCAGTTGTGAAGCTCACACCCAAGCAAGTGGTGAAAAAAGTCAGGCATAGATGCAATGTATGAAGTAAAGCCTACAACACTATACTAGCTTTTACGATCAAAGGAAGACAAAGATTGAAGAAACTGTTGCATTTCCTACAAAATTGATCATGCTGTTGATGAAAAAGAATAATTCTGGATTCTCGGTAAATTGTAAGTCTTATATAATTTCTAACTTCCATAAATACGTAACTGATGCGATATTTGTTTTCCAGATAACAAATCAACTGCCCTACATTCATTTCTACAATGAAGCAGGAAGAACAGCATTTGAGTAGATTCCATTACTGTCAAAATCACACTTGAGCAAGACCTTGAGATGGAGAATAATGGAGATATTTCATAATTATTTCATTCTTATTCCTTGTATATAACCACAAGCTTTAAAATATTCAAAGTGTTAATCATATTCTGGTTTATATGTTGAAATAAAGCAAAATTGAGTAGGTACTCATTGAATTTTTTATTATTACAGAAAATGTGAAAAAAAATTCATTAGATTGATACGAAGGCGCTGAAGGGCCACCTATACTTTTTTTTTTTGAATCCCGACTTTAAAGTCGGGGGTCCGAGATTAAAGTCGGGGGTCCGACTTTAAAGTCGGGGGTCCGAGATTAAAGTCGGGGGTCCGAGATTAAAGTCGGGGGTCCGACTTTAAAGTCGGGGGTCCGAGATTAAAGTCGGGGGTCCGACTTTAAAGTCGGGGGTCCGACTTTAATCTCGAAAATTCCGAGAAAATGATCGAATGAGCAAAATACGTCATCACTTTTGTTTAATTCGAATATCCTTAATATCGACAAAATATCAATATAACATATACAGGGTGATCCACGGTGGATGGCCTATTAGAAGTATCTGGAGAACGAAAAGACAGAACATTCTGAAAATTGGGATCCTCTGATAATTGAACATTCTCTATCCGTTTAAAATATGTTCATCGATACAGTGTTGCCACTTCCATTAGAAACAACCAGCAACTTTGTTATTTCTAATGGAATACCCTGTATTTTATTGCATTTTCAGATTCTTCCTGAAGAGCTGATTTCATCAATGTCAAAAATACAGGGTGCTTCAAGATTCAGAATTCTGATCACCCTGTATCTGTTCCAATTAAATGTCAGTAGACAGTGAATCGAAAGTTAAGATAGGGACATGTGAACCGTTTTGATCGATAATGAATAGTTTCGACACAAAAAATCTTAACATTGAAAAATCCTGATTTTGAACACCCTATATCTCTGTAATCATTCCTGCTAGAACCCAAGTGTGATACATTGATGAAATCAGCTGTTCAGGAAGAATCTGAAAATGTAATAAAATACAGGGTGTTCCATTTGAAATAACAAAGTTGCTAACTGTTTCTGATAGAAGTGGCAACACTGTCTCGATGAAAGTATTTTAGACGAATAGAGAATGTTTATTTATCGGAGCATCCTAATTTTCAGAATGTTCTGTCTTTTAGTTCTCCAGATACTTCTAATATGCCATCCACCGTGAATCACCCTGTATAATTAGTTAATTCATAATGAAAACTGCGCATTGAAAACTTGATTCTCAACGTTTTCATAAGGCTTTGAAATTTGGCTATTCATTGAAGAAGATTATGAAAATAGTCCGGAAGGGTTAACTCATACCTACAAATGTAATCATATATCATTGAACTCATCTTTCTGAGCTCTACCCAAGGACGGAATGACATTCAGGGTAGTTCATTTGTGAAAATATATGTTTTGTATTGTAATCTTTTTGTACCCTTTGAACAAACAAATGAGATTCTCAGCTATTAAGTGGAATATAAACAATCACCCTATACGTACGATAATGATCGTACAGGTGTGATCCATTATTTGACATTCAGTGTACATCCAAAAAGGAGGATTCTGACTGATCCTTATGTGATGATTATCCAATGGATGTAAAATTATTGTTTGTACATAAATGTACAGGGTGTTTCTCGAGTACATGTAGAAAATTCAGGAGCATGTTGCTGACGTCAAACTGATGAGTAACAATGGAAATTATTTATTTCTGTCCATATATTTAACGAATATAATCTAGCTCCTAACTTCAGTTCCGAACTCCCGACTCAAATCTCGGACCCCCGACTTTAATCTCGGACCCCCGACTTTAAAGTCGGACCCCCGACTTTAATCTCGGACCCCCGACTTTAAAGTCGGACCCCCGACTTTAATCTCGGACCCCCGACTTTAAAGTCAGACCCCCGGCTTTAATCTCGGACCCCCGACTTCAAAGTCGGACCCCCGACTTTAATCTCGGACCCCCGACTTTAAAGTCGGACCCCCGACTTTAATCTCGGACCCCCGACTTTAAAGTCGGACCCCTGACTTTAATCTCGGACCCCCGACTTTAAAGTCGGACCCCCGACTTTAATCTCGGACCCCCGACTTTAAAGTCGGACCCCCGACTTTAATCTCGGACCCCTGACTTTAATCTCGGACCCCCGACTTTAATCTCGGACCCCCGACTTCAAAGTCGGACCCCCGACTTTAAAGTCGGACCCCCGACTTTAAAGTCGGACCCCCGACTTTAAAGTCGGGATTCAAAAAAAAAAAAAGTATAGGTGGCCCTTCAGCGCCTTCGTAGATTGACTACTGAAATTGCACTTTTTTTTTCTATGGAAACATCATAGGCACTTTCACAAGAATGGTCAGTCCTGGTGGAAGTTGCATCAGCACTCTGGTAAGCTAGGTCTATCCTTCCAGCGTCTTTGTCATCAGATACATTTGATCCTCTTACTGAGGATGATTTGGTTTGATATAGCTGAAGAATGATTAGAGACATATTCAAGTTTTGTATCGAAGTGAACTTCCTCTTTCCCATTCATATCCATTGATCACAGGTTTTACATTTTGATAGGTGAATTCTGTGAAGGTGTTTAATCTGCGTCACAGAAAATGTACCTACTTGTGCAATTGTATTTGAATTCTCTTGAAACTTGAAAGAAAAGCACATTACATAGAACACTGAAAGATATTTTCTCAAAATGAAAAAAAATCCCTTCATAATCTGTTTCTAAGAAGTGTCTGCTACAGACAGGCATATATATTTGTAAATGGGCTTCCCAATTTTTGTAATGCTCTGCCACACTTCGTATAATTTTGCATCTGTTGGGAAGCTGTTAATTTGTATGTTTATGATGTCTTGCACTTGTTGGCCATTATTCGAAGTATTCTGAGACAAAAAATGCAGCAAACTCGTTCGAAAACCGCCAATAATTCCATCAAAATCATCAAAACTTCGCAAATATGAATTCCAGTGAAGTCTTGGTAATGATTTCTTGTCTGAGGCTTCAGATTCAGAATGGATTCAGATAACGAAATATTAACATTGCATTTTAGGTTATGTCGTACATTTCAAGGAAGTTTTAATAATACTCATATGTTCATTACAAAGCCATCGCCTGCTGAAAGGAATTTTGCAAACTAATATCTCTTCTTATTTTTAGATGACGCATGCGGTGTAATACAGTTGTGCTCGCAGACTGTCATTTATTTTATTTCTTGGCTTCAATTGGAGATCCTTGTTATCCGCATAGATCTTCATCCGTATATGTTTAGTAGGTATATGTCGCAGGTTTGAAAAATATCGGGAACACTTGTTTCATGAATAGCGTCGTTCAATGCCTGTCTCAAACTGAGTGGCTGTTGGAATATTCGAGGAAGAATGCTTACTTCAATGATCTGAACAAGAGCTCATCAAGCAAAAAGGGGACTCTGATAAAAGCATTTGCAGAAGTTATAGAGAAGCTATGGTCGAACGATCCGTCGATACGAGTCGTTTGTTTGGACGATCTGAAACTTCGGATTCAAAGGTTCGTACCTCAATTCAGAGGCTCCTCGCAACAGGATGCACAAGAATCTCTTTGTTACCTGCTGGAAGGGCTGCACGAGGACGTCAACATGGTCGTAGATGAACCGAACCCGAACCCAAAGCCTGTTCTTATGGAAATCGACAAATCATTGAGTATTAATGTCGAAGCAATGGATTCGTGGTCGAGATACTTGAGAATGAATAATTCTAAGTTCGTCTATAATTTTGTCGGGCAGTTCAAGTCTACTTTGAGATGCACCTTTTGTGGCAATTGTTCGGAGACATTCAACCCATTTTGGGAGTTGTCTTTACCGATACCACAGCGATCAGGCCAACTCAGCTTGTCTCGTTGCTTGGACTCGTTTACGAGTGTTGAGATTTTAGACGACGAGGAGAAACCAACTTGCTTGATGTGTAAAGAAAAAAGGAATTGTTTGAAGTCATTATTCATCCACAAGTTCCCTAAAATTTTAGTTATACATCTGAAACGTTTCTCGCAGACTGTAGAGTTCAGTGAGAAACTAAACACAATTGTCGACTTCCCCTTGATCGGCTTGGACATGAGCCCCTATGCAGCTGAAGACATCGTACCATGTCCTTATAATCTGTACGCTATCTCAAATCACAGCGTACCACCTACATCGGACACTACACAGCCTACTGCAGACATCTATATACGAAAATTTGGCACGAGTACAATGATTCCCTGGTTTCTTCAATTTCGTCGAATTGTCTCGTCAGTGGGGATGCTTATATTCTTTTTTACCAACAACGGGCTCACCCCAAAAACGAACAACATGATGGTGACTCTGTCAAGAGCTACTGCTCCTGCTCCATAGCTGATCCCGATAGCACCCTTCGTACTCTCCAGTATTCCGCTGATAACCACGACATGTTCAACACAGTCGTGGAGAAGAATGAAACTCCAGCTGCACACTCTGCCCCAGTAGAGAATGTATACTCTGCCCCAGTACAGAATGTATATTCTGCCCCAGTACAGAAGGTATACTCTGCCTCACTTGCACATGCTTGCTCCAGTACGTGCAACCCAGTATGTTCACGCTGCCCCAGCCGTTCATTCTGCCCCAGTTCACTTGTGGAGTGAATGAAGTGGAAATCCATTACTTATTTATTATGTCATGTTTATATGTTTATTCCATTTGGAAGATATATTTTAGGTCTGACGGTATACAGACATCTATTGACGTCTGACAGACGTCGTTTGCCGCTCTTTTGCCGAATCGGCAACTTCTGGCGAGTCGGCAAATTCTGGCAAGCAGGTTTTGGGCCGACGTAATAACGACCGAAATTGTTTGCTGGGTGTAAACAATTCCCAGAATTCTGCAATCATCGACATCACCAACTGAAAGAAAATACATCCGATGAAAAACTTGCGGATATCCTCACATAATGGGCATTCAATATGCGCAAACAAAAGTTTGTCAGAGTTCACGGAGAAAAATAGATAGCCGGTATTACCAGAATTATAGTATAGTTTACCAAAATTTCTGGTACTATATGTGACAGCAATAAAAAATGGTAAGTATTATGATAGAATTATATGAGAGAAATATTGTAGTTACCAACATAAATTATTGTAATACATCTGAGAATATTTTATAGTAATTCAAAGCAAACGTTCATTGTCCATACCAAACATAAATTTTTGTAAAAAATACTTTACATTATATTTTCTTATGAAATACTGTATATTCATTTCTAATGACTTAATGGGTCTATAGAGCGACACATTCTTTTCAAAATTGGAATAATGTTATATTTATGATTATGAGATGGATATTCAATCAATGGGAATATTTGTATTCTTAGTTTGAAGACATGGTATAATAATAATGAGAATAATAATATAAATAATTTATTTTCACAAATAAATGTGTGATAATAACATCATATTATAATGCTTCAACATTGTGTTCAGTCATCTCTAACTCATTCAAAAGAGTTTCCAATTTCACCGAATTCGTAATTTTCACCAACACACACGTTAGACTCAATAGGTACTTCGCACAAAAAAACTTAGGATTATGGATTAAAGATTCAAGAGGCTGTCGCCCAAGCTGTTCCCACTATGACTGCTAAAATGTAACTGCAACTGCGCACTGCTCACTGCACTGTGCATCGCTAGCGTTTCGGAGTAGTCTAAAAATAACTCCAGTACCTACCTAAACTATGCGGAATTGCACCAGGCACGGATCCAGGGGGGCATGCAGGTGTCGCCTAGATGAGTATTCAGTTTTGAAACTCGTATTTGAAAAATAATTTACAAATCCCGAAATTCGGATGAATGTCAAAAAAATATTCAAAAGTTAGATCAATAGGTATCCGCGAATAGGAAATTAACGTGGAATTCTAAATTTGATGAATATCACTACTTCAATGTTGAAAACCTACTCCGCAGAAGTCGATAGTTTTGCGGGACTAAGTGGAGCAAAAATCATCAGGCGATTGCTGGATTTGAAATGCCGTCAAATCGTTTTGATTCCTGCTTTCTCAATGGAGTTCTCATATTTTCTCAAAAATCAAATAGGTACACTGATACTTGAAGTATTGATAAAACTGTATTGCCTAGTGATATGTTTGATGTTTTGAATAGATTATAGCATACCTCCAAATAAAATACCACTTCAGCAGAAAAAATAACTATGTACCCATATGATATACTCTTCAGAAACTTGAATTTCTATTCGAATGCATTGGATTTTGAACCAGAAATAAAATTGTCTCTGCATGCATGGTGGTTCGTTCATCCTCCTTTGTTCACTGTAAGCGTGCTGCTGGATCCGCGCCTGCGAAACCCCCACTTATATCTTTCGAAAAGAACAGTATCCTCATATCTAACAGACATATTATGCTTTTCTATGAGCAAATTATATTCGATAAGAGGTGGATATTATTATACATTTGAAATAAGCAGATGCTTATTCTAATAATGAGAAAATCATAAATAGAATAAAAAGTTAGTTAGGAGAAAGACAAACATTTTCTAGATTGACATATTTTATTCCAGAGGGTGGTAGAATTTCTATACCATAAAATATGTTCTACATATTTCTCTCCGTGTTATTGATTTATTCTTGAAATAATCTCATCAATTTAACAACTTTCAGGAGTGAAAATTTGTTAAAAACTCTACTGCCTATCGTGATGAAAGGATTTTCAACAAAAACTGAATTTCGATACACCCTCACTTTGGAACCTGTGAATTATCAAGCATGCTCATTGAACAGGTGTCTTTCACCCTACATGATATTTTCTATAACCAATCGAACACTTCTTATATATACAATGACTCATGCACAAAAATCCCAGCAGGACTTATTGGCCATTATATGAATTTTATAAGCGATATTATGGTGGTACCAGCACCATTTCCCTATAATTACGGTCAGGTCACAGGTATAGAGATGACAGTCTGATAAGGGGAGGAATACATCAATGGAGGGTGGTAGGTATAACTTTTTGAAACGAAATTATAACACCCTTCAAATGAACATGAATATGGCAAAGGTCCCCTCAATTCTGAGCATCGTTTCACAGGTGTTTTGATAGGCTCCTAGCATTGAACTTGTTTATACAGGGTGTTCCCTAAACATTGGTAAAAATGCGTGAGGTTACTCCTAAGGTATTTTTTAGGGTGAAAAGTTCCTATAAATATTTGCCGGCAAATGCTTCCAAAGGGGAACCCTGAAAATGTTTTTTTCTCAATATTTTCGAAACCGTTCTTCCAAAAATCATGGAACTTCGTTCACCTCATAAACTCTTCATTAATGCTGATTCAGAATTTCAGCTCAGGATTTCAAAATGTCAATCAAATGAAATAACTTCACGCCTCGCGTACGCAAAATTCGCTTGTCAAACAAGGTACGCTATGAATTTTCAGATCGATTGCTAATATTTGAGGGTCACCAACACAGTGAAAAAAAATAACACCAGCTAACACCCTTTGGTGTCATGATTGTTTTAGTAAGAATTAACGCTGATATTTTTAACACCATCATCGGGTGTAATTCGTTCTTATACATAGAGTACCTATAGTGCTAATCTGATCGGTTCGTGTTATTCAACACCAAAGTGGTGTACTATTCAATCATTTAGTGATCATTTTGACACTATATCTGTTTTGTTTTTGCTTATACTGATGATATCATAATATGCAAATATTTTTGGATATTTTTCTGATGTGAAAACACACTTATTGAGTGTTATCACGCTGAGAAGCGGTGCTTTCTCGTCTGCATCGGGGTGTTGGATAACACGACTCTGATATAGCATAAGTAATCAGTGTATGAAATGATACACTGTAGTTTTTTTTATCGCTTGGAGCGCACTAAAGGAAATCCCTATAATGCGTTCCTAAGGAGGATAGGGACAGGAGGTAGGTATTGGAAGTTTTTTTGAACTTCTGGAGATTATATGTTGTTGGGAATACTTCCTCAGGCAATGAATTCCAGAGCCTAGCCGTTCTATGAATGCAGGAGTTTTGATAAAGTGCTGTTCGACATCTTTCGAGGTTGACAACGAAAAGATGTGCTGACTGGGCTTGTCTAGTTCGTCTGACTGGTATTGCTTGTGAAGGGATGATAGCAGAGATTTCCGAAGAACATTTCCCGTGGAAGTATCGATAGACAAGTGAAAGGTCGCCGACCCACCAGGCGAATTGGTGCTGAACCCCATATGTGGAAACAGTATTCTAGAACAGGCTGTATCTGCGCTTTGTAGATCATGAGAAGCTGTTGAGGTGTTAAGTAGCTTTTCGCACGGAACAAGAATCCGAGTTTTTGTGAAGCAGCTTTTTTGATGGATCTGACATGATTATCCCATGAAAGAGTGTTGCTGATGGAAATACCGAGCATAGATATGGTGGGCTTGGTGGGGATGGTGGTGCCAGACATTACAATATCGGGCATACTGAGTTCCGCCTTTCTAGAGAAAATACAGGCTTGATTTTGGTGGCGTTGAATTCAACTAGGTTGTTGGTTCCCCAGGCTGTGATTTCAGCAAGGTCTCCATTGACAGCATTGACCTGCCTGCAAAAACAAAACATCTCTGAGCTGATACTACTGATACGAAGGAGCGCTACTGTCGTCATCTATCAAGATATTCACTCAATATTTTTATTTTACAAAATGTATACTTTGATATTCAATTTTATGTTTCAATCTGGTTCGTTATCAGTACTTTATATAGCTTCGCAATCTTGAAATCATCATGGTCAATCTCACAAACCTGTGTATGAGCCAAAATATTTTTCAATACAGACAAGAATTTTTTGAGCAACATGAAGGTACAGCCAATGGTTATTGTTAATCACCTTTCTTGGCTGAACTGTTCATGAATCGGTTTGACACGAATGCAAGAGAAAAAATCGAGTATTTCCCTAGAGTTTGGATTAGATATGTCGATGACATTTTTGACATTTTTGATACGAAAATCACAGATATAGATGACTTCATCCATCAATTGAATAATTGCTTCCCCTCTATCAAATTCACTTTTGAATGCGAAAACAACGGTCAATTACCATTCTTAGATGTTCTTATGATATAAAATGGCGGAAATAATATAGAATTTGATGTTTTTAGAAAAGAACCTAACTCACTTAGATACATAACTAATGACTCCAATCACTGTTTTCAACACAAAATGGCAAACAAATATTCGATGTTGAAAGGAGTGTTGTTTATGAAGTGGCGTCAATGGTTATGATATCAATATAGTAGATAAATTAATACGTAGACATAAATTTAAGTTATCACTCAGGAATTCTACGAATTTTTAAGCGGATAAAAACAATCTTAAAAAAATCCAATTCCTTCCA